GAAGTCGACTGAACCAAGACGACCCTCTGAAGACGACTCCGTCTCAAAGAACTAGTCAAACGTAGCCTCCGGACCCGCACATATTAACGAGTCGACTTCCTAGGTCTCGAAGTCGACATCGCATACCTTAAACGACAAAGATGTGATGACGATTCATCATACTTGCAATATACTCTAAATCCTACATATCATGACAGGTAAGAAGGAATCTTGCGGTGACTCAGCACTAAGGGGAGACGAATCGACCAGGGCATTTTGGACCTTCTAGGTCCACCGATTGGGGTACTTTGGGCACTTCGCGTAAGTATTCACTCCTATATAAAGGAGATGAGGTAACCCTAAACCCTAACTCTCATTCATTCCACTCTCCCCTATAGCTGCTGCGCAGCCTCTCTTCATCACTCTCATACTGACTTGAGCGTCGGAGGCTCTACGCCGGAAACACCTCCGGCGTTGAGTTTTTGCAGGTATTCTTGCGACCTAGCGACGGTCTAAAGGCGGTTCAAGCAGATCTGAGCTCATAACCACCGGTTTACTCCAGATCCAGAAGTAGACCCATCATATAGTTATTTGGAATTTTTGGCAAATCTTTCCAACTTGTGCCAGTAGGTGCATTAATATGTCTTAATTCATATCTATATATATATAATTGCTGTGAGTATTTAATAAAACCTATTAAATTATACCTATGTGGCAATATAATTTTTTCCCTCCAAAAGCCGTTACTTTTAATTTATTTAACCTCTCATTTAATTATTAGATAATCAACACACTAATCACTTCAAAATTACAAAAATATTTTAAACTTTGATTTACTTACATTTAACCATATAATATGTTGACTATTTAACGTGATTAGATGTTATTGTTGTGGTTACATTTAAATTAACTTCTTTTGAAAAATAAAAAACGTATTTGAAACTTTTAAATAAATAATAAATAATTTACAAAAAAAAATACATACTAAAATATACATTACATCCAATATGATAAACGCAATTTAAAAAATAAATACTTCAGCTCCTTTAATGTAAATTTAGCCGGCAAAAAAGTGCAAGAAAAATCTGTAATCATTATATGCATACAAATAACTTACAGTGCTTTATTTATATCTGTGCAAATGCACAGGCCGAATACTAGTTTTCATATTAAGCATAAGAATTTATGTAGTGCTCATATACAATTTAAGAGATTTTAGGGTTTTATCAAAAGTTTAAATTTGAGGTTTAATTAAGTTTAATTATTATTATTATTATTATTATTATTATTATTATTATTATTATATATAACCTCAAATAATATGGTTGTACATATGAATGATAAATTGGCCCAATAGAAAATTTATTGTTTGATATGTTCTATTGTTAATGTTTGATCACTGCGCTAAAATATCAATTACAAGTTTATATTTTGTCCAAAGATGAAATATTAATGGAGTTGTGATGTTTTGAGATAAGGTTACCTTTATTTGGTTTTATTATTTTAAGTCTAAGTAATCTTCATGAGCATAAAGGTTGATTTTTAAAATTATCTTTATTCATGGAGTTTTAAATCAACATAAGGAATTAGGTTTGTGGTCTTTCAATAAAGAAGACAAAATAAAATGGTGGATCTTTATTTTGTCTTATTTTGTTATATTTGATTTTAGGCTAAATTGTGAGTGTATTTGAGCTTAAGTTGACATTTGGTTTTTGTCTAATTCGGCTCAATTAACAAAATTTGTTTCTAGCTTAAAATCTAGATGTTTGAACTTTGTTCTATGTTTTGTGGACTTACTCACATTCGGTAAGGTTAAGCCTAATTTGGTCATACTAGACTTTGTCTATATAAATTAAAATTTAAGTTCAATTTAGTTTTATGGGCTTTAAACTCAAATAAAGTTAATGGACACAAGTTCATATAAAGTTTCATATTTTGGCTCGAATTCAAAGTTAGGTTTCGAGATTATCTTTTTTTGGTATCTCAAAATAATTATAAGGTATGAGTTTTGAGTTTGACTTTGTAGTAGACTCATAATATGTTTCCGGGATGTGGGGCTAATTATCCCATAAGGATAGGATTTATGTTGAAATCTTCACATATAATTCATAAGAATTTGTTGAGTCAACTATGAGTAACATATTAAGCATTTTCATGACTTATATGTTTAATTTAGTTTAGGCTTAAATTCCAAAGCAATGTCATATTGAGTTTATATATGCTTGAGCTCAATTTCGGATAGTAATGTTATGACTTGTTTGATGATCTACTCTACCTGTCACGAAATAACCAAACACAACATTACTTAAAAATATAAGAAAGAAAGTGGATAACCAAAGACAACATTACTTTGAAG